TTCCTTGCTAGGGAATATTCATAATTTTTCCAGTTTTTCCTGTTCAAGTGAGCTATATAACTGCTCGCTTAAAACCAGTTTTTAAGGAAAAAGTGGAAGAAGTTCTGCACAGAAACTGGAGAAGATGAGAGGAGTAAGGAAAATTCAGGGGATTTTAGGTAGGAGGATGGGAGAGGGGGGTCGGACCACATGAGAAACTTCGAGGGTGAATCGTATTTTGCAAAAATCTCCCACAGCGGCAACGGTCCTTGGTAATATTACTAGAGATCTAATACAGGGATCAATTCAAGCATCTTCATTCCATTCACACAACAACAGAAACTTAAGAGCTCTTAGCTCGACATGCTCTCAGAGAACGTATTAGTAACAGAACACATTAAAAACGTGCAACGTGCACGTGCAAGGTACATTTGCACGTTTTTGTGTTGTGAAAATAATAACAGTAAGCACTCAGAACAACTCGTCTCTATCTCATAACCGATAACTGTGAGAGATCACTAAACACGTAGAGGTAGTTAAAGAAACATATGAAATATTTGATAGACAAATTGATTATGCTAATATGATCACATTAAAGGCAATGTTCACGATAAAATTGGCACGATTTTCAAAGCCCATAGCAATTAGGGTCTGCGATCCATTCACTTCAGAACGCTAAACACTTGACGGTCTCCAGACCAGTGCAGGTTGGACGAGATGACGAACGGGCGGATTTTCCAGGGAGTTCCTAGAGCTTATAATTTGACACAAATGGAGACTATTTTATAAAGGAAAAACTACACCCAGCTTGGTATCAAAGATACCGTCCGGCGTCGCTGATGGGCGGGATCAGGAAGCAACGCCATCGGCGAGCCCCTCCCCGTCTTATGTGGCGGTGTGACAGACGAAGGCGGGCGGTGCCCGATCACGATTTCTCCAGCATCCGCCCACAAATGTGTCTTTGAATGGGAACGGGGAAGACGCACAATACGATCGTAATTTGTCGCATCGTCGCGCGCCGCGTACTCTGCGGCGACGCGCGGGAAATTTTCAACGTGGAATGTTTGTCAGATGGAGCAGTAAATACATACGAATTTCACGACAAGACAAGGCTCCCTACCGGAGATATCAGATTTTTCTGTTTCTTTTATAATCAAATCCGAACGGCCTCTACCAGGACAACATCGTCCGCCGAGCCCGTAACTGCTCGCCGCACGCCATACAAGTGTATACATGCTATTCTCTGTTACCGTACCGCTAAACGGTGGTCTGCACTTGTGGAAAATCCCGAAGATGAAAGAGCCGAGTGAAAGTACGCAAGGTTTCGCGTGCTGAGAGGTTCACGCGCGCGACTCAACAAGGGAACCGCCAACAGTCGATCCGGCATTTACAATGAATTCACGTAATGAACTGCTTGAGCCGCTGAATCGAATGCTGCCCTCCGATTTGAAGATTTCTCTGAATGGAGTTTACCGACCATTTACTTGTGTGTTTCGCACAAGCCTGAACCAGGAAAGGCCAGCTCGCCCTTTCAGCGAAATTAATTCAATTGTACTCACAGCTTGCCACGATGACACAAACTATCTTTTAGAATTTGCATTGCGGAACATTCTCTGGCGGAGCTGTCGAGTTTTTCTTTATTGCTATTCTTCTTCTCAGGCGCCGCCAGCGCAAATCGTATCAAACCTAGCAGCAACTCACAGCCGTCTTCGCCAAACTATCATAATTCGGTCTAGGTTCAAATAACCATTTTAGATGGCTCACCGCGCAGGCAATTCCGAGTCCTTAATCATTTTCGAGACAAATGGGTTTATTTAATAGCTGTTCGACCCCTGATAGCCAAAGTCGATACTTAACTACTACCATTTATCCTGATATTACTGTTTTCCTCTTCAGTCTGGCTTTCGCAAAGACATTACCCGGCTTACTTATTCTTGCCGTTTGCATCATCGTCCTCTTTACCACGAGATAGTTCCATCTCGAGACCATTCACCAACGAGTTAGCTCTCCCTATGTTTCGATACCCATAAATCAGCACACAATTTTCCAAGTTAGGTGGCAATCAGATTCGCTAGAAATGTCCCCAGGGGTAGTTTACGCATCGCGAACCAGAATAGTGGTATATCATTGCATTTAACACGCTTGTAACATGTGGTATACTCCTCATAATAAAAAAGTTTTCAAGAGACACCCTACATGGCGATCCGCCGGCGCTTTCGTCAACTAACCAAGAACAAATTTAGCGAAATGGCCCAAGTAGAAATTTTCGAGGGCTCATACCAAGTGTTTGAATGAAAACGAGTAAAATATTCCATAGGCCCAGGCCAACATTTCGACCTCGTGTCTCCGAAACAATGCACTTACCCACTAGGCCATCGGCGTCTTGCCGCATGCAGTTATCCTTCTCAACTTGAGCACGGAGCTAAGATTAAAAATGTCGTAACTCTCCTTGCAGAACGGTTCGCGCAAAAATCGGAGCAGATTGATTCGGCGGGCTCAAGAGACATCCAATTTATACAACTCACTAAATCCGATCGGACTCTGTTGTTCTTGTAAACACCTTGATCTGTCTTCACGCCCTCCCCCCAAAATAAATGTGCTCCCCTTTGCCCAGCAGGTCAAAGGTCTTAGCGAAAGCAACGACAAGCGCGCGGCGGCTGGTCTCCCCGCAAGTTGTCCCCCCTCCACCCCCTCAGCTACATGTCTCGATATCCGCGAATGCGGACTGGACAGTATTCTCAGGGAGGTTTTGTGCACGTTCTCCACCAACTTGTTCGCTTGCCCTTCCAACAACTGGTAATAACCGCTGACTTCCCTGAACCAGAACCAGCCCTCGTCAGCCCCCGCATCCCTGCAACAGAACAACCGCTGCAACCTTGGCGTATGTCTCAAAGGCCCTTTAAGGTTAGTTTCACCAACCTACGGATATCTGTTTGTGGCAAAGAGTCTTTCCACGCCAAAAACTGCAAATTTTAAACCTATTTTAACGTGAACACTGCATCTGAAGCTTTGATTTCGTCTAGAACACCGAGATTTAGAATACCACCGTGAAAAGTACATGAAGGCACTACAGATCTTTAATTACATATGCACCTACTGTAGGCTGACCATAAATTCATCACCTGAAGGCATAACTTTGGAATCATATCATTAAAAGAACTACAGCCCTGTCTTCCCGACGTCTATAACAACCAGCACGAAGTCCAAAGGCCGGAGCTACCCTATCCCCCATTACTGTGAAAAACCGCGTCGCAACCGCGCGCATCCCATGCTGGATGTTGTACACGTTCTTCGTTCTCATGTTTTGAACTTAGCAGACATTCAGCTCAGAACTGATAGTCTTTCAGAAGGTGATCCATGCACAACAAGCACTTGAAGAAGTTGAAACTTGAGATATAGTGAACTTATTAGTCCAATATGATCACCTCCGGTTCTTTGCTGCTTCTAGAGGAGGCGGATGAGGTAAACTGCGAAAGTCTTGGGGATGAAATAGGGCTGTCCTTTGATGTGAAAGAGGGACCGGATTCATACACTATTTCAATACCATCGCTACCGTTAACAAATCTTTCTGGTCGGGGAGGGTCTCGATTAAGTGAACGTCCTTGATCAGGATGAGAGTTAAACGAGGGGGTCACATTGATTGCTTGAACGGGTACGAGCCGCTTGGCCCTTGAACCAAAGAAGAAGCTCCGTATGCCATTCGTGTGGTTGTTAGCAACAAGCGATTTCATGTTCTCACCATTCGCAATCCATGTCGCTTCTCTTTTCTCTTCCGCTGCTTTTTTGCGTTTTTCAGCTGCGACAGCTCGATCTCGTTCTGCTTTCTGAAATCGCGATTGTCAGGAAGTACCGGGAATTATAGCTGAGTCGAACCTAATGAGACACTCTACGAAGCGCCCGAGAAGTGGATCCTTTCCGCGTGCTCGGAGGACAGGACCGAATTAGGCCGCCCTTTTCACTCGAAAATGCATGGCTGCGGA